CCGTGTTGCGCTACTCCTCTGCACTTCCTTCATATTGTGTGTTTTTCTTTGTGTTCCTTTCATGGCTCCCATGTTTCTCCACAACGCTGCATCATTTGCTTTCTCTGACATCAACAGTCGTCATATTTCTTGACCTAAATGCGGCATTCGATTTTGTTGATCGATAGGTATTATGGCAATGATTTGCTTTGAAGAGAATAGTGAGAAAATACATTGCACTGATCAAGGCACTCTACTCAAACTTATGCAGTCAGCCTAATGAGATCCTACGGAGAGTTGTCATCTGAAGTACTGATAACCAGTGGTGTCTATCAGGGGTGCTTACCACTATCCCCATATCTGTTTAATTTCATTATAGTTGTATTAATGGACTTAACACTAACTAAACTTCAGCAACTCAGGGATTGAATTGTTACCAGGGTGGGAATAATCTCGTTGACTTAGAATACACAGATGATATAGTTCTCCCAGGTGAAAACGCTGCTAAAATCTTCGAATGCTTGGCATGCGGTTCTCTTCCGTCAAATGTAAGATAATGCTATGGGACTGCACTAGACAACAGAAATTATAGGTTCTACAGCAGGCCAAAGTAGAAATAGTGGTTGGGGCTTCTTTATTTTGCACATTGAGCTCCAGTTGATTTAGTCGTATTACTGTTAGGAGTGTTCGGTATCTAGGGGCCTTTTGTAAGTTAATCAATACCCGATAGATGATAGAGAATGACTCTTCAATTCTAGATCTGTGGCCTGTTTTTTTTGACGAGGTGATGCAGCATGGAACTGTTGAAAGTTTTAACAACACCCTTATTTAACCAAACAGTTAGGTGTTCCAAAGGACTCGAAATTAGGTTCCGAGAGCAATAGTCAATATAACTGGCTCCACAGATATAATTATAGGTGGCAAGCCTAGGTACTTCAATAATAACTGTCATATAGATATAGAACCTGGTGATGAATTTATCAAAAAGAATATTCTTTGTTGATTTATTAGTTTTTTTAACCATTATTTATTGAAAAATTAACTGGTGGATGGTGACTAGTAGTGGAATCCAGGATAAAGCGAATTTCGTCCTATTCGGGACTCGTCATTTGGATGTACTGCCTTCCCCAGTGAGTGATGGCGTTCCCCCCATATTCTTGAACCCAGCGCCCATAGTTTCAAACGCCAAAGCGTTATCCACTAGATGACTTGGAAACATCTTCACTCATTGCAGAATACAAATACATCCAGCTGACGAGCCAGTCCCAAATAGGACGAAATGCGCATCCTCGATTCCACTGGTAGTCATCATCCACCAATTAACTTATAATTATATGCCCAGACATCTTCGGAGCATCTGCACAAGAAGCCGACATGTCAACCTGAGACTGAACACTTCAGTCCAAACAATCAATCTACGGGAAAACCTACAACTGAATTAAGTCATTATTTATTGACTTACAAATCAATATGGTGGATTTGTCGAGTGAAATTTGTTCAAGAGACTAGTCAGAACACTACACAACACGAAAGATTCCATACAGCAAGTCTGTGTTCTTGTCATTTTCCACTTGACTAATTACCTAGGACTCAAACGATGCATAGGTTAGATAGTTTTACCATATCAATGCGTATCGATTAAAATTAAACCACTTCTGAGGAGTAGGTATGTTTGGCTTAGTCAGCGTGTCACTGAACATCTATCATCATGGTTTAGTAAAAGCACAAACTGAAATCATGCAAAGTTCCGTTTTGATTGTTATGCGTCTAGTCCTTTCTTTGATGCAGACTGAATTCTATCCGTCAGGTTTGCAATGTGGCCACCATTCTAGCTAGCTCGCCATCACGGTGCACACAGATTTGATGATATTAGATGGTTGGAGGTAATCGGCCACAGGAAGCCTTGCTTGACCCAGGTTTCGTGCCAGTTGGCATTAACCAATCAGCAAGGCGTATCTGAAACTGCCTTGAAGGAACTCATGTCCCTTTTGCGATTCGAACCCGCGTCACCCGGTGCTACAGTCACAGACGTTACCACTAAGCTATTCGGGCTCGCGATTGATCTCCTGTAGGACTGTAGTGGGTACTTTGATTGGACACTAGTAACTAGTATTATGTCGATTGCCTGTAACCATCTAATATCATCAAATCTATGTGCATCTGTGATGTTGAGCTACCTAGAATGGCGGCCACATTGCAAACCTGATTGGTAGAATTCAGTCTGCATCAAAGAAAGGACTAGATGCATAACACTAGTTACCAGTGCCCACTACAGTCTTACAGGAGGTCAATCGCGGTTTGGTTGAGTTTTGGGGGTGGGGTTCCTAGCACCACGCCCCAACCCTCCCTCTTTATCCGGGCTTGGGACCGGCTAGAAAACTAGCAGGCTAGTAGTCTAGGCGAGGTTAATCGCCAGCCCGAATAGCTCAATGGTAACTTCTGTGACTGCGGCACTGGGTGACGCGGGTTCGAATCTCAGAAGGGACATGAGTTCCTTCAAGGTTGCAGATACGCCTTGCTGACTGGTGAGTGCCAACTAGCCCGAAACCTAGCTCCAAAGCTTCCTGGCGATTGCCCTCCAACCATCTAAAGTTCCGTTTTATCACATTTAGTTTGGTAGTATTTTTTTTAATATTTTTTTGATCATAGCTTGATTCCACACCGTATTTTTGGTACAAGTATGGAATTTTCAGCATTGTGATATCGGTAGTCCAAATTTGCAAGCCAACTATTGATATCAGGTGTGCGTCGACCAGGGGATCGAATCCCGAGCCATATGCGCATGGTCGGCGAGCGACCTAACCGCCGCACATTAGAAAAGATGAAAGCATCCACTGTGATTTATGTCATCCCGTGAAATCTTACAATAGGACTGCCCTCATTGCATATAACTGCTGAGGCGATGGCTGATATTCAAACTAATATATATCTTCAATCTCTAATTTCTTATTTCTTTTTTCTCTCCCACATTACTCAGGATAATATTCTTTATTTCCACCACCCTGCCGCCCCAGGGTGCTACCCCCACCCCCGCATCATCAAATTCATCCAATCTCCTGTAATTACTCTCCTTTCCCCATCGAGTGAACCGTAATCTATATCTTTCCATCAGAACATGTGGACAAGTCGTCTTTAGATGGAAATTTCTGATAAACTTAAAGAAAACTGGATAGATGTCTGACAAGAAGTGTGTGTGTGTGTGTGTGTGTAAGAGAGAGTGCGTGTGTGTATGGGAAGGGTATCATGTTAACCATTGTTAATTATCCTCAATATTCTATAATTAGATCAAAGTAACTATTACTTCTAGTGTGTATGTCAATCTTCATGTAGACTTCATACCTTATTCAATTTTTTTTTCAAGTATTTATGATATACTACTACTAACAATATTTCCAAATGATTGACACATTTAAGTAGTATTTTAAGGTCACTACCACCGCTATTAGAAATTAATTAGTAATTATCAAGCCTTTGTGTATGTCTTGCTTGATTCAATCACAGATTAGTTTGTTACTTTGTTAGTTAGTCTGTCTTCTGTATATGTGTCAATCATCGATTTATCTGGCTAAGGTTATATCTCTGTTGTATTAGTGCGGTGTATAGTCTGGTGTCCTCAAATTGATCCAAAATGAGATAATAATAATAATAATAATGATATAAGACTGTTCGTCGGTTTACTGTCTTGGTGTATATTTCTTGCTGTCATTTTTGTGGATTGACTAACACAAGAGATTTGTATTGATTTAGTTGTCTTCTCTTTGGGCTGAGCTGATTGATGGTTAAATTGCGGAGCTTTCGTCGTCCTCTCGACCTTCTAGATAACATCACTTCACCCGCGTTATGTTGATGATACATTCGTAATAGTTAAAAGAAATGTGATTTGGAACACATCCACAAGAGAAGAAGAATTAGACAACAAGACTCCATTCTTCTTAGATGTCTATATCAAGAGAATTAATACAGGAAATTTAGAAACACAAGTATGTAGAATATTCAACGCACACAGACCGGATAATCAACTGTAATAACAGTAACCCAATACTTCACAAAATAAACTGTATGCTGACATTGTTTTAAACAAGTCCAAACACAACGCTGCAGCATTACTCCTGTGTTGAAGAGAATTGGAGGAAAAATACTCACTAACCGTCTTCAAAAAGAATGCGCAGCTCCGTCACAATTCCACGAAAAAGTGTCTAAACTTGAGTCATAACACCACCACCAACAACAGCAACAAGCTAACATCATAGACCACAAGAAAATTCATCCTACTATATCTCTCTGAAATAACAGCTAGAATATTAGGACCGTTTGAAGTAGATATATAGTACACAAGCCAGTCTAATCACTTTATTCGACATTGTGCAAACTGAAAGATCCAACAGAATAATAAGAGAAAATTAATACCATTTATAAAAATAAATTGCAAACATTACATCGGTGAAATTGGGTGTCCCTTTAAAATCCGAAAGGAAGAACACAAATTAACTGTAAAAGTGTATGAGATGTATTCTTTCATATCAATGCATGTCTACAATCATGGATACGAATTTGATTGGGATAATATAGAAATTTCAAAGTGGGGAAACATTAGACAGTAATGCAGTGAAGCAATTCCTAGAAGCCTGGTTGGTACTCAAGCGAATCAGCCGGCAATTAACAAACATCACAGTCCACTGTGGATTGTTGATATTATATATGACTGGAGGTAATAGACAGGAAGCCTTGAACCCTGGATGGATTTTGGCTAATTGGCACTCATCAGCAAGGCGTATCTGCAACCTTGAAGGAACTCATGTCCCTTCTGAGATTCGAACCCACGTGAACCAGTGCCAGCTGCAGTCAGAGACGTTACCACTGAGCTATTCAGACTCGCTGTTGACCTCCTGTAGGACTGCAGTGGATATTTTTAATTGAACAATCAACGATCAAGTACACATTCACTTAAATATTTGATAGACATATATAATCACATTCAGTTATATAATGCAAATTGTCTTCTCTTTCTTGTGTTGCCACAGGTTTACCCACGTGGTGTTGTCATCAAGCATATGCGTGGCCTTTTTCGATCAATTGGGATAAATAATTGTGCTGAACCAGGCAATGTACTTCATTCACGATTTTATGTAGTCGTGTGTTTGCTTTCTTTAACTGAAATTCTTAAGACGCTATGAACAACTAATGGCTAAAGATTTTTGATCAAATGGTTGAATGACAAAGATGCATTCAAAGTGACCTCCAACATAATGAGTCTACGATACAGACTTTTCATGTTTGAGCTTAATTATCCAGGAGATATATGTCATGTACCAAGCTAAAAGCTGTATTAGATATCTTATGAAGGCTGATACTACTACAGCGTCGTTCGATGGGAAGCAGGTTGAACAAGGTACTCGGTCACCTGACTCATTGGATGACAACCGAATGCTCAAGCCAATGAGTCACATCGTCATATTTAAAACTGCATTTCTACTTTGACTTTGGAAATTAAGTAATATCATAAGCGTCCAAATAAGTGTAGTTTGTAGCCATCTGAACGACATCTGAAACCCTGATGTGGTGGTCTGTCTTGCACATCGAGCTACACTGGCTGGAACTGATGTTTCTTCAGGTCCTATCATATCAGGATAGCGATTAGACTAAAGGCAGTTACGCTTATAACGTGTGGTTGTTTAGGCTATGTTTGGGGGTCTGTGGATGGAGTTGTACTGCTGGAGAATGGGAATGTGTAATATCGGTAATATATTTCCATTAATGTATGTGTAAAACTTTGGCAATGTGGTAGTAAGTAATTCCATATTAGTTTGTTTATTAGATATATCACACAGTGATGAAGCAGTATTATTTACTGGATGACAAAGTTTCGAACAAAATTTATAAATATTCATAATCATAACATCAATTATAATCACACGACTTCGAAACTTGACTTTTAAAGTTTTCGTTGTTCTCTCCTATTTGTCGTCGTAGGGGTAGTAGAATTTTCCAGATATCTGTGTGGACAGGTGTTGAATCATTCCTATTATATGTATTTGCAGTTGATTCGATAAACAAAGCTTCCGTTATCAATCACTCCCTCCACCCTGTGACATTAGATTTCAAAACTGTCATCCTATCCCATCCTTTTGCATGGTTGTGTGTGATTGCATGTAATGCTATAGCTGAACTATTCTCTAGATTTCTTATCTTATTCGGATCAACTAATCTAGATTTTACTGCTAGATTTTTGTGCTCGACTGGTCTGATTGACTGACTAACACCTTTCTACTACTTTGACCTATGTATTTGACCTGCCAATCATTCAAGCAGGGTATTAGATAAACTAAATTGTTTGTTTTAAAGGCTCCACTGGCAGGATCTTTAACCGACAAGCTTGTTTCTAAGTGAGTTTGTGGGTTTGAATGCCACTTTTATTCCCGCCTTGTTAAGAATTCTGCGTAAGATTTCCGAGGTTGCTTCCTTGTATGGAATTACTACTGATGATTTAGATTCCTGTTTCATATATATATTTTTTATATTTTTGATTACACCTTGATTCCACGCCGTATTTTCGTACAAGTGTGGAATTTTCAGCATGGATATCGGTAGCCCAAGTTTTACAGGCCGACCATAGATATCAGGTGTGCATCGGCAGGGGATCGAACCTCGACCATGTGCATGATCAGCGAGAGTCCTAACCACTGTGCCACTGATGCATTATTATTATTATCACCATAATTATTTTCATTATTTCCCTCAGATAACCATCAAGCTGGCTACACTGTCTCAACGTTCTTTGTGTTTTGTGTGTGTGTGGGGGGGGTGGAAAAGTTTGACCCCGAAAATTCTACATCCTGACTTATCTTGCAGTGTTCCATAGCCGGCGATGGGATCTTAATACAGATGCTACCGTAAAAACCACTCCAAAAAGACCGTGTGCGACTTGGCCTCAAGAAGTTGTCCCATAGGTTCTGTGGTCACACAACACTAATGCTCCTACCTCCAAGTAGAAGTTAAAAATTCCATGGTTTGGTTTAATTTATGTGTGTTCGCTATTTATAGATTATGTTGGAATGATATAAGAGAATCGACAGTAATTGTAAAACGTATAATACATGGTCGCACTTTATCTATTCTGTAGATTCTCTAAACTTTCTGTGTTCAAGTTCATAAGACACTAAGCATTAGTAATTTTGATAGACTATAAGTGATGTAATCTTAGAAATTAGGACCCACTTTCGAGTCAGTATCCTATTCGAGCATGCAACATAAGTATCTTGTATTACTATATGGATACGATAGTCATTAAAACGGAAAACCCTATGCCAGACATCCTTTTAATGCTCTTGCAGTGTTTGGTGTTATTCCATCCTCACCCCGGTGACGCTTACTCATATGGTACATACTGGCCCACACTCAGCAGACATGACATATCTCATAGGTGTAGTCTCTACATATACATGACCATCTTGCAAGCCGCATGCAACCATCATTTTAGATGGTGGTGGAACGTACCTGCGAGAACAAAGTAAGTGCCAACCATTACTCCCCCAGTGATTTTGTCACCCCTGACCAAGGCAAGTAGAATAGAAATTATTATTATTTAGTGGGAGGGGGTTTGGTATATACTATGCGGATTGACAACATAAGTTATTATCAGATAGAGTAACAAAGTAAATCAAAGTGTATGAGTAGTAATCATGTTTGAAACATTAAGAATAATCCTACCTCATCAAGATGGTGTGAGAACTAATTAGCTAAGTGATGAATAATCCGTCAAGAATTGATTTGTTTTTCGAGTTTGACCACTGAGCATTGATATCAGTTAGAGAACCATTAGAAACCAGCACTGGAGTACTGGACAACCAGCTGTTTCATCAGCGTAGTTTGGACTCGTTGGTTCGAACCCAGGACCTTTCGGTTACAAGGTGTGCGAGCTCGTAGACCATTCAACCACTGGTGCCCAACTTAATGGCTGGTCCGTGAATTTTAACTTCTATCAATACTTGATTTTAACATGACTGGCTGCATTAGCCAATGTTATCGCTGGCTAGCATTTTCCTCATCCAGAGTGGGTGGACCCCACTGGAGTCACGACTTCTCACTAGAACTAACTCCAAGAAACTATATCCTATGACCAGTCACTAGCGAGCATCAGATTAATTCATAAGACCTGGCCTGTAGAAATTTGATTTGTCTCAAGTTTGATTACAGATTAATATCGATTAGAGAACTAGGGGGTCCTGACCAGCTGGTACCTCCTAGTCCGGGACTCCTCATCAGTACACTCGCCGGGGTTTGAACCTAATACTTTCCAGTTACAAAGCAACTTCGTATACCCTTCAGCCAATGGGGCCCGACCTAAACGGCTCACAGTTTCCAACTCCTACTAATGTGTAATCACTGGGGTCTCCCCACTAAGTTAGGTAAGCAAACAGTTACTCATTTACCACCTGTGAAATTGACTGGTGATGATCGTGCTAAAATCAAACGTGAATTAGCAGAAACTGGAATTCATTGGTATACCACTGGTTTGGGTCCCAGCGGCTGAACTCCTTGTAACCGTGTGAGGTCTTAGGTTCGACCCCCGGCGGTAACGATGAAGAGAATAAAAAACTAGGCCGAAACAGCTATCCATTACTCCGTCAATCATATCAATCTGTAATCATTTTGATGTATTTTTTATTTTATTTAAAACTTTTTTTCAAAATATTTTAAGGCCAATAGGAGTGGCACTATCCTACTTAAATAAGAGAGAATATAAATTCTGTTTAAAATCAATATTCAATTTTGTTTTTATCCACATACATTTGGCGCCCAAAATAAATATATGTTATGATTGTTACAGTTAGTTGGTGATATATAGTAATAATAGTAATTAGAATAATAATAATAATACAGATTCTTGTGAATAGACTATCAATTTACTATTGTCTTTAGAAAAATTTGTTTTTGTCTCACGCTCTCTTTTTCTGATTGGCATGTCAGTATGTTAGGTAGGTAGGCGAGTAGGTAGGTTAGGTGAGACTGTTTTTATCTTCCTTTCAGTATTCATAGTTCAGTGTCATGCACACAACACACACACCTACCCATGCGTGTATAAACTTTCATGAGAAAGAAGACTGTAATTCCACTTTTCAAGTATTGGTTTTGTAGAGATTTTGTTTGATTGGATGGAGGATTTCATCGTGAGCTGAAATCGGTTAGAGAACCACTGGAAATCCCACTGGGAGTACTGGACAGCTGTTTCGTCCCAGTTCGGGACTCTTCAGTAGTATGCACTTTCTGGGGTTCGAACCCAGGGGGGGCGGAGATCGTAGATCGTTGAGCCACTGGGACCCGATCCAAACTAGGCTGATGAAACAGCTGTCCAGTACTCCTAGCTGGTTTTCCAGTGGTTCTCTAACTGATGTCAGCTCACGATGAAATCCTTCATCTAATCCAACTAAATCTCGACAAAAGAAATACTTGAAAATCAAACTGATGCTCATTTGCGACTGGCCCTGTTCAGGCAGTGACCTGGGGTTCTAGTGGGAAGCCGTGACCACTAGGGTGCAGCAGGTTGAAGATGAAGCAGTAACTCATCATCGAAGAAGTCATTGCGAAATGGTCGCGCTATGTCGTGAATTGGCAGAAGTTAGAATTCATGCACTGGCTGGCCATTGAATCGGATCCCAGTGAGTGGCTCAATGGTCTACGAGCTAGCTCGCTCGCCTTGTAACCAGGAGGTCCTGGGTTCGAACCCTTTCAGTGAGGTATGGGTGCGTACTGCTGCAGAGTTAGTTCCAAACTAGGCTGACGGAACAGCTATCCAGTACTCCAGTGGTTCTGTAACTGATGTCAGCTCATGATGTAATTCCACTTATCCGCATTTGGTGCACAGTTCACCAGATATCATCAGTGGAATTAAGTTGAACTTAAGTTTCTAACACCTTACAGGTTGAGTATTACATTATGAATAGGTTTAAATCAATACAAAATGAGAGGCTCTTTGTGTTCAGTTTTGATTACAAACTGATTTCAGTTAGAGAACTGTTGGAAATCAACTGACTGACTTACTAGCTGGCTGATTTCAACGCAGAACTTTGCACAGATGTGCACCAGTTCCAGGTGCCAGTCCCCCTGCATGTGACAAACAAAGAAAGGG